ATGTTCACAGGGCATAGGTCATCCTAAAAATAGCATGCCCAATCTAAAGTTAGTACACCTCTGAGGTATACTAACTTTAGATTGATAAGGGGTTAACCTGACCTAGTAATCCCCACACACATTCACAGCACAGCCCCAGCACTGGGAAAACCCAGCTTGCCACAGTCCCAGGGCTATGCTGTTCTTACTCCCAGGACCCTGATGGGTTATTTTTAACCCTCCTGACTATGTCCTCTTGGCCTAGGCAACTCCCCTCACCCCTGCCATGGATATGCCAGTCTCCACAATCCCTGGTGGCTGGACATAGATGATAAAAGTTCAATCTGACAGAGATCATAAAGGCTATTTCATCAATGATAGATCCTTCAAATCGTTACTTTCTATGGTTTGATGTTTCATTCTCCTACCTGAAGAGTTGATGTATTTCTTAAGCCTTTTCAAAAAGAATACCTTGATCACGAAGACAATTTCATTTGTTTTTTGTCATTCTGCAGTTGTCAGATGCCATGGGTTCCACCCATTTTTATGATGTCATCAGCTTCCCACTGTATCCGAAAAATGCCAAATGACTTATCAGTTTTTCAGAGTTATTGCTAGCAAAATGAAAATCAATCATAGTACCTTCCTTAATCTACAATGTTATAATGGGCATTTGATTTCAGGTGTGCTACAGAGAGGACCATTCAACTAAAACAATCATCCCTCTCCTGCCACCTTGCAACTCTCACAGCAACAGGCTTTCTAGACAAGCATTAAAGGAGTCCATTCTTTCTTAAATCAGTATTTAAAATGTTGCCCTTCTATCAGAGTCATTTAATGAAAATACTTAGGAAAGGGATTATTGGTATAATAATGATAACAACATGTGTACAAGGATTTTGGTATGGTCAAGAATGGCAGCGTTCTATACTTCAGAGAAGGACTGCCTCCATTAAAAACAACATTATTTCTGAATTTTTGTGAATATATATTTTAGCTTCTTTGTAATATTGATTCAGTTTTTCTGAAATGGATTTTTAGAAAGATTTACTTTGCATATTCTCCTGTAAAGTTGTTGGGGTTTGTCTTTTTTGTGGGGGAAAGGAGGAGGTTATCAGTGTAATTATACCCTTAAAATGGAGGCTGAAAGTAGTAATAAACTGTTTCATTTTTTGCTCTCCTAAAAGATTTCTGTAGCGTATTTTCTTACATTTGTAAGTGAAAAATATACTGTTTGTAATTGCTGGCCAGAGATCTGAAACCCTGAGAACTGAAAATCAAGTTGCATTGTTTTTTGTTTTTTCTTTACTATCACAGCAGTAAAGATTTTGCAATTAAAACCTAGTCAGGAATTTTGCTCATGAAGTGGTACAAGTCCATCTCATTCCCCCATAGCTACAATGATATTCTAATGCAAACAATAATATTTTTGTGTGTGTGTGAAAAGCATGCCAATCTATCTTGGACATGGCATGAATACATTTTGCTATCCTTATGCTGTCATTTTCAATTAGTACCAATCAATAATACTATATTCATTACCCCTGCATGTCCTAAATCAGGTAAAGTCTAGCTGGATTTTAAGAGAGCTCTGAAACATGAATCTCACATGTTAAGAGCAAGCAGTTTGCTGCCAATAGAGAAGAAACCTCAAGTTTCTCAGATATAAATGTTCATTCTTTCCAGAAGGATGGATAGACAGAGGTTCAGTATTTCTCTCTTTGAAAGGGGGATGTTCAGAGTTAATTTCAAATGTCCGCTCCATATTCTGTTGGATTTAACATTCCCTCATTTCTAATCTAGGAATGAAAAGTCTCTGATATCAATATAAACAATCTATATTGACAACTTTCATTTCAAAGAGATGGATTCTGGATAAGGAACAGCTGTTTGGAACAGCGGGCTACAAGGCAGAGCTACAACTCAGTACAAAATAAAGAGCTACTATGGATTTGTAGAGTATTTAATTTTGAATTATATTGACCTATGGCCTATGACTCCTAAGAACAGTCCTTCTTCTAGAGAACAGTATTGAAATAAACACCTTGATATCTTATAGCCATTTTTGACACTGCTTCCATAAGGAACTCTTGGTTATGTTACTCCAATGATTTCCAAAGTGTGTCTCATAAGAGGAATGGAAGTGTGCCACAGGAACCCCCTGTGTGCGGAGGTAAATGCTCTCCTCCCCTGTCCAGCATCCCATGTCTGCCCCAACTACTCCAGTAGTAACTGTGGCTTTTCCACTGGGGGCTGCCTTCAGGCATCCTCTGTGCTGCCCATGTTCTCCTTTCCTCTCTCCCCTGCTTCCTCTCCCAATCCCAGCAGCAGCTGGCAGGCAGATATGTCCATGGACAATGCTGGTCTTTGCAGCCCAGCTCACCCCCTCAACTCCTCCCACATTCCTGGGGCCAGCAGGAGAGGCTGTGGGGATAGTTCCAGTATGTGAGACCCTACCTCATTGGCAGGGGCTGTCCATGACCCTGAGGTACAAATGGGGGGTCTGGAAGGGGCTAACAGTGGAAAAATCAAGACACAGGAGGGTTAAGGCTTGCCCCTGCCACTCGTAAGTGGCATTAGCTAGTTCAGTGATTCTCATTTTTTGAGCCTCAAGGCCCCCATCCATATCTTTTCTGAAATATATATGCACACAAACCACATTTTTGGGTATGAGTAATATGTGCTCTCAATTTTAATCCAAAAAAAATGTGCGACCAAGGTATCAAAAGCTTGGGAAACACCATGTTACTCTTTCACCTATTCCCTATAAACTCTAGAAATGGAGGAAAGTAAACAGAGTTCTTCTCAAGAGTTGTGGCTTCCCCTGTATCTGAAATAGCATCATAAATTCGCTGTAATTAATACCCATGAAAACTCCCTAGTTTTTCATGTAGTATTTTCTGTGGGACACACTATTTTTGCTTGATAGATACTGTGATGAGGGGGCAAGTCTGAAACCTTTAGGAAGATTGTCTTTTATCTGGAGAAATTCCAGACCTTGCTTTAGTCAAAAGTACATTATTAATTTCGGTTTGTGATATAGAATCCTGTATGTTAGGACCCGAGCTAATCTAACACAGCCATCTCTTTGAGGGCTGCAGAACAATCTCATACCTGTGCCTAAGGCTAAAATATTGTGCTTTTATCCACAATGCATTAATCTTAAATTGCATGTAATATTTCAAAGCAGATATTGAACATTGTGCACTTTTTTATCTGTGTACTATACCTGTGTGCAAACCCAGGCCATGTACAGACATTCAGTTCCTATTAGGAAAGTCTACTGGGGAATCACCAAAAGTGACCACTCTGGGAAAAAATAACTGGGAAAAACAAGGGTTAAATTGCTCCCAAGAGAGTTTCTCCTGGGAGGGTGAATGCCTGTATACTTTCCCTTTTGAAAGAAGCCACAGCACAGTCCTCCAGCATCCCAGGGTGCTTTGTTCCTGGGCTTTCCCCTTTCTTCCCCGAAGTGTGTCACTTAGGCTAGATTCTACTGCTCCAGCCAAGCAGGGAGCAGAATATGTCCTCTTTGCAATACCTACATTGCACTGCAGGGAGACACAGGCTGACCCTGAGCAGATTGGATCAGCAAGTCAAGGCTGCTCTGTGCACTGCTGCCATCTGTCTCCAGGCAGACTGAGGAAGCCTGAAGATCACCCCAAGATGTTGTAAAGGGGATCTGTAGCTGCACAGCATCAGCACTGTAAGTTTTCTGCTCTTCTCAGGAGTTTAGTATGTGAGTGTCTGCTCAGGTAAGTCTTTCTACCCGGAAGACAAACGCAGGAGAATTCTCCCAGATCTTTTGGATTGGGTGCGCAGCCCCAGTGATGCATAACACTCTTGGGGAACCTCCCCCCCCATGTATAATAATCAAAATTCACACGTCAAGACACTTAAAAGACCTCTTATACCCAACTAAAACATCTCACCCAATCTATAATTAAATATTTCCATTCTTACCCAGTCTACAAGAAAGGCTTAATACAAGTATTGTTCCTCTCCATTCCTTTTTCTTCTTACCTCTAGTAGGTTTTACACTGGGAAAAGACAACACAAATGGAAGGGAAAAGAGCAAAAACAAAATGCTCTTTTTTATACTTAATTATTTTATGGATTCTTGTCATATAGTATGGGCTACTTTCCTAGATACTGTTATCATGGTCAAATTATAAAAATGTTGGTTTAGCTGGTAATAACTGAAAATAGTAGCTGAAAATAACTAAAACAAACAAAACTGTAGGTATGTGGGGAAATATTTTTCCTTCTTTAATGTGTGTCGCTGTGTCTCCAGTAGAAGTAACGTCCATCATGGGAAATTTACCATCTTATGCTTCCAATGCTGGCAGCAATAGACATGAAATTGATTTATTGTCCTGTCATTTTGTCTAAAGAGGTGTCAAAAGAGTATCTTGATCAGATATCCTGTTCTATCCTGGTTTGATTTTTGGAGCCTTTCCTATCATTAAATTCAGGACCCAGGATGACTCCAACTAACTTTAAAAAGGTTAGGATTTCACTCCTCAGAGTTTCTTGCTATTTTTTCAAAAAACCTCATTCCTATGCATGTAACCAATGACATAAACCTTGCATCTTTCTTCTCATGTCCCAAACCAAATTCTGTTGCCGTGGGCAGGTATAACCTATACAGGTGTTTTGTTTTTGAGAGGCAATATTTATAAAAATAATTTTATACAAGAAATATGGCATTGGCTGGTTAATAAAGGCAATGTGGTCAATTTTTTTCTAGGTGTTGTGATTGTTAAGTTTCAGTTTTGGAGCCTTGCATACTCAGTTGGTATCAGTTCAGGAATTTTGAAAAGTAAATCATTTAGACACTAACTACATATCTTTCTATGGTACAATACCTCCCTAAGCTAAACTATTTTTTTAAAGTGTATCAAACTCAATAATGAAAAAAATATAAAACTTTGCTTGTCTTAATTGTAAGTTAAATTACGTACATGTATAAACATTCTTGATTTTCAAAAATTATGTCTCTTCTGTCTTTATTTTTAAAGGAATTTTCTGACTTTGAAAACACCCTGACCAAAAAGAGAAAGTAAGTTCAGATGATTTTTAGTTCCATGGAGTGTCAATATTTTTGTCTGTACCTTTCAGCCTTCCCATTTTATTATGTCTCTTACTTGTGATTTAATTTACATATAATATCTGTATTAATGTCTCTGAATAGAAAACAAGTGACAAGCTTGGAATGCATTACTAAAGCTCTTTGACATCATTTGCTCATGTCCACAAAGCTTCTTTTCAAAATAACAGAACCAGAGCATCCAACATCAAATAATGTTAGTCCTCATTAATCTGAGCTTGGCTTACCATATGTCTGATTCTCTAAAAGATTGAAATGGTAACCCATTTCATGGCATGTTTGTACCATTGACCCCATAATCTTTAGAAGATGGGTTGTTTTTAATCCAAATAAAAAATTAGTTTACAAAATTACTTGGATTAACCAAGTCAGACCATATTTTATCCAGTGTATCTGTGACAGCACCGTGGTTCAAGTAAATTGTGTATCAGACAACGTTATCATTTGGGCTAATGACCTCTAAGTATTAATAGTTCAGTGAGGAGAGGAATATATTTTTTGAAAATTCATTTTGTCTTGATCTTACAGTTTATTGCATTAATAGAATGGTCTATTTCAAATGAAATTTCATCTGATGGAATGTTGGACTGAGATTTAATCTGCCTGTCTGTAACAGACAGGAAAATCCCTAGATACTATAGGATCATATACCGTATTCACTCAAGTGGGGGTTTCCCCCATGCTGAATGGGGGGGGAAACTTTTCTTGGATTTGAATACAAGGAGAGTCAGGGCCAAAGTGAGACAAACAGCAGCTGCCTGCCCCTGCCCCTACCTGACCTCTATAGCTTCTGCTCCTTCCTGCCCCTGCAGCCTCTTCCCCCTCCCTTCCCTTACTGAGAGGTGTGACTCCAGCTCTCGCTAGATTCCACCCCAGGGCATGGAGCACTTAGGAGCTGAAGAATGGGCAGGCAGGATTCGGGGGGGAAGAAGTGAGTGGGAGGTAGAGGGCAAGGGGGACAGCTGCCCCCCTGCCACTGCTTTCTCCTCTGTAGCAGTGGGAGAGACAAATTTAAAACAACCTTCCAACAATTCTACGCCTGGAAAATTATAACAAATTTATAATTTTTCTATATATGGATCTAATTATTGGGGGTCATCTTTAAACTTGAAGTCAACTTGGATTCAGGTAAATGTGGTAAATAGGTTTTTTGTTTTAAAATATTGGCTGCATTAACTTCAGAGTATTAGTGTTATGAATAGATTTTTCTGAGAAATTCTAATTAACACACCAAAGATTTTGAAGAAACAGTAAGAGCTCTATTGCTTTGGTAGCTGATCTTGCTCTGCTATTTGTCAAAAAGTAAAAATACTGTTTCACAAGCAATTTCTCAACGGCAGGCAAAGATTCTGATTAATGAGGCATTATTTGTTGTATTCAAGTAATTACCATGTTACCAGGAAAGTCTCACATTTAAAAAATTTCATGAAGTTTAACATACATGGTTATTTGTATGTCATATCCATGTTATTTGTGGTTCCTTCATTATTATACATTTTCAGTAACTCTGATCACTTAGAACAGTAACATGAGACTGAGGTGACCAACCACATGGTGCAAACAGCACCAATGTGATAATCCAAGTTGTCAACTTGCAGACTGCAAAAAGATTCATCCAGTCTATTTAGCTAGTAATTAATCAGTAGGAAGAAAATCAAGGCCAGATACTATTCCACTTGTTAGGCACCTAAACGCAAACCTATTCCATCTACTTGAGTCCCTGTAAAAAGAGTTTTTTTATGATTTAGGGTTAAAACTCAGATGACATCTCATTGAAAGAGATGAATCAGTGGTTCTCCACAGATGTGAGTGAGGGAGAATAAGATCACACATAAGTGCCTAAGGATTATTTTGTTAAGAGTAGTTTGACCATTTCAGTGCTTATATGCGAATGCTACCATAGAAATTCTGTTTGAATGTGGCCCAGAGAACAATAACTCAGACAATTATTTTGGGGTAAGCTAGATAAAATGGACTTATCATATACTTCTTTAATTGTGATTTATACAGGCAAATGGCTACATATGGATGTAGGTAGATTGAATTAGCACAGTGTGTTTGTATATTGATATGCCAAAAAGAGATATCAGATTTAGGCATAAGATGTGTATCTAGATTTTGGAGAGCATCATGTTAAATTTGTTTAGATGCAGAGCTTATGTTTAGTCCATTGCTGAGGCACCAAATTCCAGATTGTAAAGTCTGCTAAGGCTCTGGGATGTTTCAGGTCATCCCTACAAGATGTCAATTGGCCTTTTCAGTGGGCTCTTTGACTATATTGTCAATGTTTCATTCCAGAAAGAGACTCTAACAACCATATTTTCAGAAGAAATATCTATAAAGCCAAGAAATCCCTATGTAGAAAGTGTGCTTGTATATGTTCAGAGGAAGTGTGTGGGGGGGGGGG